TCCAATCTAGACAAGTGATCGGAAACTTGATTTCCACTCACTTTTCTATCTTTCACCTCAACATCAAACTCTTGCAATAGTAGCACCCGTCTCATCAACATTGGTTTTGCATCCTTCTTTGCCATCAAATACCTCAAAGGGAGTGGTCAGTATGCAATATAACTCTCGTGCAAAGCAAATAAGAGCAAATTTTCTCCAAAGCAAATACCACCACAAGGAGATCTTGTTCAGTCACAGTGTAGTTCTTTTGTGCTTCATTGAGGGTCTTACTTGCATAATAGATGGGGTGAAGGATTTTATCCCTTCTATGTCCCAATAACACACCAAGAGCAACCCCAATAGCTTCACACATTACCTCAAAAGGCTTACTCCAATTTGGGGAAATAATCATGGGTGCAGCCTTCAAACAAGATTCATCAAAATAGAATTTACATTCCTTCTCAAGTAATTTGCACAGAGGATTTGCAATTTTTGAGAAATTTTAATAAACCTTTGGTAGAAGCCCGCATGTCCTACAAAACTTCTCACACCTTTTACAAAGATGGGTGAAGGAAGTTTCTCTAAAACTTCAACTTTCGCTCAATCAACCTTTATCCCCATCTTTGAGATGCGATGACCCAATACTATACCTTATTTAACCATAAAGTGACATTTCTCCAAATTTATCACAAGATTGCAATCTTCACATCTTTTTTGAACACCGATCAAAAGAGTCGCCAACCACTGAATAGTCATCCATAAACACCTCAATAGTGTCCACCATATAGAAGAATATCGACATCATACATCTTTTGAAATTGGCCGGTGCATTACACAACCCAAAAGGCATCCTCTTGAATGGGAACGTCCCATAAGGGCAATTAAAGATGGTCTTCTTTTGATCTTCCGGGACAATAGAGATTTGATTGTAACCCGAATAGCCATTAAGAAAACAATACCATCATTTTCTTACGAGTCTATCTAACATCTGGTCAATAAAGGGCATCGAGAAATGGTCCTTCTCAGTCCATGCATTTAATTTCCAGTAATCCATACAAACTCTCCATCCAGTCATCGCCCTCATTGAAACAAGCTCGTTCCTCTCATTGGGATCTACTGTTACTATTTTTTGGCACATACTGAAGAGGACATACCCAACTATTATCTGGAATAAGGTATATGACTCTGGAATCTAACCACTATGATCTCCTTCTTTACAACCTCTTGCATAGGTGTATTCAACCGTCTTTGGAGCTCAATACTTGGCTTGTGATCGGGCATGAGTTTGATTTTGTGGGAACAAATATCGGCAGGGATCCCAATAATGTCCGCAATAGTCCAACCAATGGCTCTTTTTAACCTCTTCAACAATTCTACCAAACACTCTACTTGTTGCACATTCATATTCGATGCAATGATTACCGGCAAAGTGTCCTCTTTTCCTAAGAATACATACCTCAGATAATCTAGTTTTGGATCCTTCTCAATATACGGTCTCGCGGATGGAGACTCGCAATGCTTCATATCTAACTCTAATATTCTTTGGTTTTGACTGATATTCACCTCATTCAAGTGACGCAAGCAAAGACCTATACTCTTCAATACCATCACTCTCAAAATTCATGATCACTGCCGCTAGTGCCTCAACACCAAGGCGCTCTTTGATTTGTACCTCAGACGTACTCTCAACCCTGTAGGATATAGCAGATACTTTTTGGCGCTCACCACTCTACTTCATGGACGTACAAATATTGAAAGTTTCTTCTTCATTGTTCAACCTAAACTTCATCTGCCCTTTTTCCATATCAACCAAGGTGTGAACTAGTAGCAAGAAACAGCCTCCCAAGAATAATAGGCACCTCAAAATCCACCTCAAAGTGAAGAATCACAAAATCGACCGGAAATATAAACGACTACACCTTCACGAGCACATCATGGAGTATCCCAATGGGCTTCTTCACTATTCGATCGGCCATCAATAATCGCAGTGAAGTGGGCTTTAGGTCACCCAAACCCAATTTCTTTTAAACGGAGAGAGGCATGAGATTTATGCTTGCACCAAGATCACATAGTGATTTAGCAAAGTGTAATAACCTGATGGTACATGGAATAGTGAAAGCGCCCAGATCTTCCTTCTTCTGTACAAAAGACTTTGTAGCTATAGCACTACAATGCTTCATTGGGTCATCATCCTTAAAACTTACCAATCTCTTCTTTGTAACCATATCCTTCATGAACTTGGCTTAACCGGGCATTTTTACCAAAACTTCTATCAAAGGAACATTGATTGAAAGCTTTTTCAACATAGTGATAAAATGTCGGTATTTATCATCATCAGTCTTCTTCACCAATCTCTGAGGGAATGGTGGTGGTGGTGGTCTAGGAATGGGGATCACTTTTGTACCTATACTTCTTTCACCATTTTGTTCACCAATTCACCACTAGTTTCCACTACTTCTTCATCTTTTCTCATCTCATCTTTTACCACAAACGTCATAGGTGGATCAATAGTTTGCTTACCTCCTCGAATAGTGATTGCCATGCAATGTCCATCATTTTTAGGATTTTAAATGGTATTGCTAGGAAGAGTGCCCGATTGTCGTGGGTTCACAGTAGTGGACAATTGGGCCATTTGTAACTCAAGATGCTTAATCGAGAATGCATGTGCATCAAACTTTTGCCCAACATTAGCCAAATCACCTCTTAATTCCTTGATGTGCTCATCACTAGCATCAAACCTTCTCATCATCTTCTGCAACATATGGTCAACTCGCGCTATACTACCTCCATCATTCCTAGGAGAAACTTCCCAATTTTGAGGTGGAACATAGGGCCCACTTCGATCATTTCTGTTACCATAATTATCCCGGTTGAAGTTGTTGTTGCGTTTATAGTTTCCATCTCAAACATACTAGACCTATCTATTCTAATTCCCATAATTCTAACCTTGATATCCTTGACCTTGACGTCAATTCTCCTGATTGGAGCCTTAGGTGTTCGGTCGGAAACCCCTGTCTGATCATTCACTGTATAATTATCCTCTTCATAATAGTATTCATCCGCTGGAGGTAGTGGTTTAGTCATTGCATTTACCTTCTCTGCACCTCAAGTGACATATTTTAAAACCAATCCAAGCTCAGTTCTCATTTGATCCATCTCTTCACGAATCTCATCGGCGGCCAGATTGTGTATAGATTGCACTGCAAAGGTGTTTCTCTCCCAGTGTCTGACATTCTAGTACTCCAAGATTTGTTGTTGCGAGAGATTTTCTCCAACTTTTATGTGATCTCTGCATATGTGCACTAACTATAAGAACAACCCGCAATAGTGTCTAACACTTCTTTATTATTATCATCTTGTCCCCAATAGAAGTAATCTTTCAACGACTCATCATCAATGCGGTGGTTCGGGACACCTCTCAGTAAGCAGTAAATTTGTCGTAAGTGCTACTTATCGACTCCCTATGTAGTGCCACAAAGTTGTTCACTTTATCTTTGTTAAGCTTTTTCGAAGCCAGGTAGTACTTTGCTAGGAAGACATCCCTCAATTGATCCCAGATATAGATCGAATTATAGGAAAACTCAGTAAACCATATTGCGGCCTCTCCTGGCGATATATGAGGGAAGACGCTCATGTCTAAGTCTGGCCTCCCCAAACAACTCTTGCACACAGACCCCAGTTTGGATATGTGAGCATGGAGATCTTCAAATGGTAGCCTTGAAAACAAATCCCTCGCAGTGAGCATCTGAATCAGACTACTCGTTACCACGAATGTGTGCCCCTTCGGTAGAGGAGGTAGAACAAGAGTTCCATCAGATTCAGTGATATTGACGTTGCCCCTATAGAACTCTTGAGGGTGTGGTATATGAGGTTGCATCCTCAAATCATCATCAGTTGGATTTTTTGCAACAACTTAGTTACGAGCATCAACCAGTGGTGGGAGCTGGCGATTGATCCCATCACCTAGATTAGTTGGGTTCTACGGATTATTCATTCTTCAAACCGTATGGTTCAGTTGATGATCAAATGGAAGTATTTGTTCTCCTCGGCTCCGTGTACTTGGCATACACTAGAGCTATATCTAAGAGAAATAAAAATAAAAGAAAAAAAAGTAAAATTAGGAAATTGTTGACGAAATTTCAATAATGTTATTAATGTTAATATAGAAGCCACTTTCTCCGGAAGCGGCGCTAAAATTTAATACGCTCAAATTATACCTCACTAAAGAAGTATAAGTGGTCATATCAAGTAAAGAACCCAACTATTAGGTTGGGGTCGATCCCACGAGGAAAATGATTTAGACTTAACTTCAATGCAAGATTACTTCTATTTAGTTAAGTCCTTTTCGAAAATAGAAAATTTAAGGGGGATTTTGTGAAACAAAACTCTTTTAATATTGCTAAGTAAAACAAGTAACATGATTAAATCTTTGATGTTTATCAACTTGTGAGAGAAACTAGGGTGCAAGTGTTCATCATAAGTTCATAAAGTCGTAGCCCTAGCTATAAGAATTCTTCCCTAGTGTTCTGCATGTAAAGTGATAAGTTAGGTATCTCTAAATCCTTGGTCCGATATTTAGATAATTTCGCCCCGTACCTTGGTCCAACTACGTGTGTTTAAAGTACTAACATTACCTTTACTTCATATTATGCATCGTATTCGACGTATGACTTAGTTATTACTTCGCACCAATCAAGACTAGCCTATTAGATAGTATCCTACTAAATCTATGTTGATAATTCTTTTCCTATTAACTACCTCATTGGTCCGGTAAGTAGCAATAAGGTGAGTTCTAACACGTGAACTCGTTAAAAAGACTTCTAAGGAAAGAATTACCAATGCATGCAATAACCTATATGAGAATTGTTATTAAGCTAGGTTTACTTTGTTAATCACCCATGGTTCCCAGAACACTAGTTCTTGATTTAGATACCCATGCATAGAAGAACACAATTCAAAGTAGATAAATAATAAATGATGAACTTAATTTGACAAATTTGAAGAAAATCTAGAAATTCAACTTGAAACAATAAGAATTCACTTGAAAACCAAATCCGAAAAATTGAATTAATGCTAAAGTTACAAAACCCAATCTCCAAAAACAAACTAATAAAAGTAGTAATAGAATCCAACTCCAAAAATGAGGTTTTACACCCTATTTATAGAAAATATTGTCCTAAATTAAAAGGAATTAAACTAAGGAAAGTTGTCCCAAAAGCACAGCCTCAATCGATGACCACCACAGAAGGTCCGTCGATGAAACGACGGACCGTGGACTGCCCTCAATAACTTCAGACTTAGCATCTTCTCTGATCCAATCGACGGACCAACAACACGGTCCGTCGATGCACCTACGGTCCGTCGATGCATTCTGTCATTCCATACTTAGCTTTTCTTCAACTTCGGATACTGGACATTCTCTGATCAGATCGACAATTTACCAAGACGGTCCATCGATCAATTGACGGACCATTGATCCTATTGTAGCCCCACACTTGGTCATATTTCCCCGAGTTTCTCCAGATACATAAACTTCCAATCGACGGTCACCATCTACGGTCCATCGATGAGACGACGGTCCGTCGATGGCCTTCGTGGGTCACTTCTGTACTAAATCTCAACTGCATTTTGCGTTTTGGTTTTGGTCACCTTTCCTGCAAAACAAAGACAAAAGCATATTAAAACCATTACAAAAAGGTTGTAGACACACACAATCTTAAGGAAAAACATTGAAAGTACTTTACGGTAGATCAAACTTCTGCAAAGATAAAGCAATAGACCTCAACAATTCTTCTACAAAAAATCATAAACAAGAGTCTTAAATTCCATGTTAACCACCAAAAGACATGAAATCCACAAACCAAATACCCAGTTGAGCTTAGCTAATTTTTATTCCCATTACTTGTCTTTGGAACTCAAAAAGAGAAGAAGTCGCTAAATACTAAGAAGCAACAAAGAAACTCAGTACACCATATCAAAGTCCTAATTTCTTGCATTTCAGCATGTTTGAAATGGAATTTTTCTTATAACTAAAATTGTCAATGAAAACCATCAATCTTGATTCTTAATAGCAAACAGCCAAGTTAATTTTTGATGTTTCCAGTTACTATCAAACCACGAGAAAATTTAACAAGCTATTGATTTGAACATGAGAAGATGAAGAGACTTAAAGTTATATGCACAAAATATATTATATACTCCCTCCGATTCAATTTGTTTCCCTAATTTTACCTTGGCACGGTCTTTAAAAAGAAAAAGAAGACTTTTTAAAAAAAAATTGTTCTCTTAGATTAAAGAGATGTACAATGTAGCAAAATATCTTTTAATTTTGTGATCATAAATATGCCACGTGGAAAGTTAAGAATTAAAGAGTCATCAAATAAGAAAAGCGACATTTTTTAAAGTAGACTAAAAAACAAAAAAACAAGATAAACAAATTGAAATGGAACCGAGAGAAAATAGATTTTCATTAACAAATGATATATCTTACAACAACAAATGATGTATTCCTTTAATCCACAATGAGCAGCAACTGACCCAACCCATTGTAATGTTTGTAGTAAATCCCATTTCCAAGGTACAGTAATGAAGGATAAACACAACTATTATTAACTACTCCAAGCTAATCTATATATCTCTGAACTAGTACATACAATAGATAAACAAAATCACAAATCTGACACAATAACTTTCGGAACATAAAAACCATATCATTTCGTCAATAAATACTCTTTCAAAAGAACAATAAAAACTTGATGTACTCTGGGAAACAACTGGACATCTCGACTCAATGTATACAGTTTATTCAAATCTGGGAAACAACTAGACTTCTCGACTAAATGTATACAATTTATTCAAATCTGGGAAATAACTGGACATCTCGACTTAATGTATACAATTTATTCAAATCTGGGAAACAACTGGACATCTCGACTTAATGTATACAATTTCTTCAAATGACAAAACTAATTTTTCTTAACTTCACCAAATGACTAAATACTGTATTTTAAATCACATGAATAATCTTAACCAATTGCTCGATTCTTGAAAAATATAAGTTGTGCATTTTTAAAGTATACAACACGAGTGCAACAACATTCATAGAGAATCCAAATCAGGCATTTTAAATGTGTTGACCAGATCAACTGAGTGTGTATAATTTTTCAAATACCCTAACTATAGTATATACTTAAGTAACTAAATTCTAGATTATGAATCACACAAGACAACTGTATATTTGAATAAAAAACATCACTACTCGTTGATCAGATCTACAGTTATATCGATAAAACAATTTTCTTACATCAAAAACACAAAAACAGCACTATAAAACACTAATCAGATCAACAAAACCATAGTTCCACAAACCTCAAATCCATTTCCAATAAACATACAAACAGATCTACCAAAAAAACTCAAAAGCACAGACTAATCAAAACACAACAAAACCTCAAAAAAAGTAAAGTTACATAAAAATTGCTATATTTTACATATCTAAGCAAACCAAAGTGCTAAAAGAGAATCAAAATAAGATCATAGAACAAAAGAGAATGTTGTATTACCTGCGTTCAACTCGCCTTAGAAATTGCTGCGACGAAAGAGGAAATGAAGAGAAAAGGAGAAGAACGAGGAATTTAACGATAAAAAGGGTTCAAATGTGGAATAGAGAAGCAATATATATATATACACACGAAATGCTACACTCAATTTTACTACCATGCTCTTGGTTGCGGTTGTCCTTTTTTTGACTATGGAGAAAAAAATAATAATTATGGGTTAGGTTAGACTCGTTTGACTATGAGAATTATTTGCTTTTAGTTTATTTGAATTTTATTGTTTGACTATGAACATTTTAAATATAAAAATTATATTTGTGTTACAAATTCACTTAATTGTGTAGATGCTTCTTTAATCTATCCTAAGGTAATGTTTACATTTATTATATTAATTAAATATTATAGTAACACATTATCAAATATTGTAAAAGGATGATTTTAACATCCTATAAAAGGATGATCAACAAAAGATATTAAAGAATATTGTCTACTCTATATTCCTCATTAGTATTTGTTTTCAATTTTTTGTTTAGTATTATTGCATTTTGCTCTCGTATTACACACATTATCAGCACGAATCTCTAGCCAACTGAGACATACTTAATTCGATATTAATTCCTAAAAATTAATCAACTTTCTTTTAGAGTCAGACATATATTTGTGTGTTTATAACATCTCTAATAGGACTTGCATAACTCTTTGATTAGTATTTTTCATTACTGCATATATATAATCTGCTTAGGTATTATTATAATACATTATAGGCATGATAATCAATATGTTTCAGGTTTATATTGTTATATTATTTATGCTACTAATTTATAACTCTAAATTCAATACGTAAAAATATAATAGCATGTAGTTAGAAGACTTGTAAATATTTTCTTGTAAAAAATTTATGATAAAATTGTGTGTCATAAAGCGAGTAGTATTATATTAAATATTATATGAAAAACTTACAAATATTTTACGTTAATAACTATATTGAAACTATAAATATATATTGAAAAATAATTAGAACATATATTAAATCTACCGTTTCATACTTTATAAGTTTACATGTTTTTTAGCATTCCATTTTCATTCATATAATATACTTTATACTAATTCTTAATCATTTGAAACATAAATTTATCTTTTATTATAAAGAAATCAACATCATAATATTAACTCTAAATTTTTTATGATAGTTTTCATCATGTCAAATTTGTCAAAACTTAAATTTGTGGCACTTGACATTTCTGGAAAAAACTATTTGTCATGGGTCCTTCATTCTGAAATTCACCTTACCGCTAAGGGTCTTGGTGATAGTATAATCGAAGAAAATACGACATCAAGTCAGGATATAGCGAAAGCTATGATATTCCTTCGTCATTATCTTGACAAAAGCCTGAAGGTTGAATACCTAACAGTGAAATATCAACTTAAATTGTGGATAGGTTTGAAAGGAAGGTATGACCACCTCAAGGCAACAATATTTCCAAGGGCTCATTATGAGTGGATGCATTTATAGGTTTAAGATTATAAATCTGTAATTGAGTATAACTCTGCTGTATTTAGAATAACTTTCCAATTAAAATTATGTGGGGAAGTTATAAAATATGAAGATATGTTGAAAAAGACACTAACTACTTTCCATGCCTCCATTATGATATTACAACAACAATATCGTGAAAAAGGTTTTTAGAAATACTCTAAACTGATCGCATTCCTTCTGGTGGATGAGCAACATAATGATCTTTTAATGAAAAATCATGAAGCACGTCCCGCTGGAAGTGCTCCATTACCGGAGGCACACGTGGTTAATGCACACGGTCAGTCTGAAATAAGATAAAATAATAGGGTCCATGACAATGTGCACGAACATGGCAAAGGCAAAGACGATATAATAATCGTCAAAGTGGTGGTCATAACAAATGGACGAACAATGTAGGTTCTCAAAATAATCCTTTTAAAGGAAAGGCAATCACTGTCATCGTTGTGGCCTTAAAGGTCACTGAAAAAATAAATGTCGGGCACCTGAGAATTTTGTCAGGTTGTATCGGAATTCCTTTAAAAGGAAAGAAAATAAAGACAGTGCCTCCTCTTCTAATGCCTGGGTAGAGTCACATTTGACTCTCAAAGATGATGTTCAGGCAGGATCTTCTCAAAAATATAATGAGAATATTTAGGCAAACTTAGCATTGAAAGATGATGCCTTTGATGGGCTCGATGATATTACTCATCTTGAATCTGAAGACTTCTTTGGGGATCACACCTGAGATTAATAATTGAGCTAGGAAATGAATAATGTTATTATGTATTTTTAATATCTTAATTAAATTTTATGTACTTAAGATTTGTTTTGATAAATTTCGTACTTCTTATTATGTATTTTTATTCTTGTGAAGATAAATAAAATTTTCCAGTCTTCAGTTGGATCCAAGATGAATAATGGAGATATATGTCTTCTGAACAGTGTCACAACTCATACGATACTAAGAGAAAAGAAATATTTTTCTCATTTGATAATGAAAAAGGCATGTGTTAATACAATATCTGGTAGTACAAAATTGATTGAGGGATCTGAAGAGTTTTTTATTACTACTTGAAGGAATATTATTGGTAACTGATAATGTATTGTATTGTAGTAAATCTCATAGAAACTTGTTAAGTTTCAAGGTTATTCATAAAAATGGCTATCATGTTGAGACTGCGAGTGAAGGAAATGTGGAATACCTTTATATTACTACAATAAATGTGGTTAAGAAAATTGTGCATGAAAAATTGCCAGCACCTTCTTTGGGGTTGTACCATACAAATATTGGTATAGTTGAATCACATGCCGTCGTAAACAAAATGTTTACTTATTCTAATGATTTTATCATTTGGTATGACCAGTTGGGTCATCCCAATTATAATATGATGCGCAAAGCAATTGAAAATTCATATGGGCATACTTTGAAGAACCAAAATATTCTTCAAAGGAATTATTTTGTGTTGCTTGTTCACAAGGAAAGTTGGTTATCAAACCATCAGTGGCTAAGGTTGGGGTGGATTCCCATGCATTTCTGGAATGCATACGGAGTGATATATGTGGACCTATTCACCCTGTATGTGGACCATTTAAATATTATATGATTTTGATAGAACATCTACGAGATGGTCTTATGTGTGCTTATTATCAACTCGTAATATTACTTTTACGAGGTTGTTGACTCAAATAATAAGGTTAAAAGCATAATTTTCAGATTATGCAATAAAAATAATTCGTCTTTATAATGCTGGTGAGTTTACATCTCAGGCAATTAATAATTATTGTTTGTCCACTGAAATAACAGTTGAACATCCTGTTGCACATGTTCATACTCAAAATGATTTAGCAGGGTCATTGATTAAACGTTTTAAATTGATAGCTATACCCTTGTTGATGAGAACAAAGTTGCCTTTTTTGATTTGGGGGCATGCTATTTTGCATGCAGCAACACTTGTCCGCATAAGGTCAACCAGTTATCATGACATCTCCCCATTACAATTGACTTTTTGTCAGGAGCCAAACATTTCCCATCTTAGAATCTTTGGTTGTGCAGTATATGCTCCAAGTGCTCTACCACAATGCACAAAGATGGGTCCCCAAATAAGGTTGGGGATATATGTTGGGAATGAATTCATTCTATCATAAAATATTTGAAACCTAGAACTAGAGATTTATTTACGACAAGATTTGGTTATTGTGATTTTGATGAATCAGTTTACCCAACATTAGGGGAGCAAAAGCAATCGGGAAATGAGATAGATTGGAATTCACTTTCACTTTTTCATTAATATCCTCTAACAAATCAATGTGAATAAGAAGTTCAAAAGATAATTTATTTTCAGAATATTGCAAATTAACTGTAGGATGCGTTTACTAATCTTTCATGGGTTACTAAATCATACATGCTCAAGCTCGAGTTAATGTACCTATAGGACAAAATGTTAAGGCAAATGAATCTGGATCACGCTTAAAACGTGTAGACCAATTGGTTTCGAGGATAAAAATCCTCGGAAAAGGAAAGCAATAAATAATCATGATGATGATCATAATGTAGAGGAAATTTCTCATGAAGAGCTCCGAGACATAATAAATGATGACTCCAAATAGGAGGTCCATGTACCTGATAATAATGAGAATAAGAAAATCTCTATAAATTATGTCTCGACGAGAAAAAGGTGGAATCAAAATGATATTGTGGTGGATAATATTTTTGTCTATAATATTGCAGTTAATATAATGCAACAAGATGAGGATTTGAAATCAAGATCTGTCAATGAGTATAGACAGAGAAATGGTTGGCTAAAATGGAAGGAAGCAATTCAAACAGAATTGGCTTCACTTGAAAAACGTGAAATTTTTGGATCAATAGTCCGAACACCTGAAGGTGTCAAGCCAGTGAGGTATAAATGGATTTTTGTACGAAAACACAATGAAAATGATAAAATCGTAAGATATAAAGCACGACTTGTGGCACAAAAATTTTCACAAAGGCCTGACATTGATTCTGAGGATACTTAGTCTCCTGTGGTAGATGCAATTACCTTTAGGTACCTAATAAATATGTCAGTTCATGAAAAGCTTTAAATGCGTTTAATGGATGTTGTAACGACCTATTTGTATGGCTCGCTAGACCACAATATTTTTATGAAAATCTCTGAAGCACTCAAAGTTTCTGAAACATATAAAAATTCAAAAGAAAGTTGTTCAATAAATCTTCATAAATCTTTATATGGATTAAAACAATTAGGGTGAATGGGTATAATTGTCTTAGCGAATATTTGCTAAAAGAAGGATACAAGAATGACCCGTCCTTGTATTTTATACGAAGGTGAAAATCTGAATTTTTAATAATATCCGTTTACCTTGGTCTTCAAATTGAACATTTGACAAATGAAATATTTAATCATCAATCAACATATACTGAAAAGGTTTTAAAGAGATTTTACATGAATAAATCACACCCATTGAGTACCACAATGATTGTGAGATCTCTTGATATAAATAAAGATTCATTCTGACAGCAAGAAAAAAATGAAGATGTTCTTGGTGATGAAACATCATATCTCAATGCTAGTGGGGCACTGATGTACCTTGCCAACAATATCAGATCAACTATTTGTTTCACAGTAAGTTTATTGGCGAGATTCATCTCATTACAACAAGAAGACATTGGAAAGGTGTTAAACATATATT